TGGTTCAATGTATTCATTTTATACAACTCAACGATTCATAACTCACTTTATAAGAAAATATCGGATTTTCTAGAAAACAAACATGAACTTTTGAGTGGCATGCATTTACGCAAATATCTACTTATGAACTCACCAAGTTAATTATTGACATTTTTTTTTGAAATAACTTGTATTCTCAGGAAATCGCTAAATATCAGGGTAGCAACTACTTTTGGGGACTAATGCTATGGTGTTAGTAACATCTTTTGGAACATCATATTGTATTTGACTTTTGAAACATGTAATACAACAATCATGTAAACTTTCAAATATATATAATGATGGTGTGTACTTTCTTTACTATTCAATTGTTATGATACTATACATGACGTCCTCCACCCCTGAATGTTTCTGGCGTTCAGGTTTGGGGGTGTGAAAACTTAAGGGAGGTATTGGAGACTCTGAGGAGGGAGAGACATTATGTGAAGTTCTCAAAGTGTGAGTTCGGGTTGTGTGAGTTGCGGTTTCTGGGGCACCTTGTCAACCAAGGTGGTATTCTTGTTGATCTGGCCAAGGTCGAGGCCGTGATGGGATGGGAGGTTCCTAAGGCTCCATCTGAGATTCAGGGTTTCCTTGGATTAGCAGGTTACTATCGAAGGTTCATTTAGGATTTCTCCAAGATAGCAGTTCCTCTGACTCTGTTAACGAAGAAGATAGTCACTTTTCATTGGGGGCCTAAGCAGCAGGCAGCTTTTGAGACCCTGAGACAGAGATTGTGTGAGGTGGTTATTTTGACCATGCCAGATGGTTTCGAGGATTTCATGGCTTATTGTGATGCATCAATCACGGGTTTGGGTGCAGTTCTGATGTAGAGGGGTCACGTGATTGCTTATGCTTCGAGGTAGCTAAAGCCGCATGAGGCGAATTATCTGATGCGTGATTTAGATCTGGGCGTAATGGTTTTCCCCATCAAGATTTGGCGGCGTTACCACTATGGGTTCCTCTATACTATCTATAAGGGTCTCAAGAGCCTGAGGTATTTGATGGATCAGACGAATCTAAACATGAGGCAGCACAGGTGGTTGGACATGTTGAAGGATTATGATTGTGAAATACTTTACCATCCGGGGAAGCCTAATGTGGTGACCGACGCTCTCAGCCCAAGGTAGTTGCGACTCCGATCAAGGATATTTGTATGATGATGGCAGTGATTACTCTACTCTTGGAGCAGATTCGAGAGGCTCGGGTTGAGGCTATGAAAGAATAGCATAGGAAGAGTGAGCACATAGTTGGTTAGGTGGCTTCCTTCGATTTTGATAGTCGTGGGTTATTGACTCTCCATCGGAGAGTGTGGGCTCCTTATTGGGGTTGTGCGTGTCGGGTTCTGATGGAGGAGGCGCACAAATCGAGGTTCTCCATTCATCCTATGGTGACGAAGATGTATAGAGATCTTTGTCCTAATTATTGGTGGCCATGCATGAATCGAGATGAAGCTTGGTATGTAGAGAGGTGCTTTACTTGCAGGAAAGTGAAGGTCGAGCATCAGCGGCCTCATGGCAAGATGTAACCATTAGACATTCCCGTTTGAAAATGGTAGGAAACCACCATTGATTTCATTATGAATTTTCCTTGGACTGCGTGCGGAGTGGATTCGATTTGGGTCATTGTCGATCAATTGACCAAGAACGCACATTTAATTCCAATTCAAGAGAGTATCTCTGTGGAGAAGTTGGCCGACATATACATCAGGGAGGTTGTGGCATGGCATGGGGTGTTCATTTATGTGGTTTCAAACAAGGACGTCCGATTTACTTTTGGATTTTGGAAGAGGTTCCATGAGGAGGAAAACTAGGACCTCGATATGTTGGGATGAGGTCAGTCAATGAGTCATGGGGAGTACCGAAGTGGTACTCAAGACTACCGAGTTGATTTAGCAGGTTCGGAGTAGACTCCAGACAACTCAAAGTCAGTATAAGAGCTATGTTGACAAGCGCCGATCAGATCTAGAGTTCCAGTTTGGGGATATGGTTCTTATGAAGGTGTCATCCGATTCAGTAAGAAGGGCAAGTTGGGCCCTAGGTACATCAGTCCTTTCAGGGTTTTGGCTCGGGTGGGCCAGTTTGCTTATTGCATAAATCTTCCCAAGGAGCTTAGTCACATCCACAACACATTCCACGTCTCTTAGTTGCATAAATGTTTAGTGGATGATTCTGCGGTGGTTCCATAGGAGGTTATTCAGCTGGATGATCGTCTGAATTATATTAAGAGACTGATGACGATTCTTGATAAAAAGACGAAAACTTTAAGGAACAAGGTTGTTGAGTTGGAGAGTTGAGTGGCAACATCACAAAGGTTCAGAATGGACGTAGGAGCCAGAGGACGAGATAAGGGAGCATTACCACGAGTTATTTGTGGCGGCGGAGTTCGAGGACAAAACCTGATTCAAGTAGGGGAGAATTGTAACATTCAAATTATTGGTATGTTTCCTTTCTAACCCTTTATGCATAAACCTTTCATTTTGGTCCTTATTTTAGTATGCAGGGCATACCCTATGGGTACGTTGAGCGTACTGGCTCTTTGATGGATCGTCGATGCATACACGTACATTGGGCATACGTGGTAGAACGTGGGGCATACTCCGACCAGCTAGAAACCCTAATCTTTAGGGTTTTACCCCTATCTAAGCTCATTGCATCCCTTGATCCTTGGCTCTTATCAACCTCCATATTTCCTAAACCCTAATCTCAACCCTTAGCCACCATGTTATTGTTCTTGAGCTCTTGTGAAGAATATTAGTGTTTTCTTGTGCATTTTGAAGAGATAGAAGATCACTGAAGGTTCATTGCTTCGATTGAAGCTTAGAGATCCAGAGTTGTGATCTCTTTTACAAGCTATTGAAGGTAAAAAGTTCTTAGTTGACATCTCTTTGTGTAGATATAGTTTGGGGTGATTCATGGCTTATTTTAGTTCCTTTAGTTTGTCTGTGTGAGTAAACATCATTCCAAGAACTTAGTCTCTAGATCTGGACGTTTTAGAGGTCCTTAATGCACAAAAATGTGACCTTGATGGGTTTTGTGCATCCATGCAGATTTGATGTTTCACTTAATGGGGATAAAATGATAAAATTAGACCTTGGGGTGTTCTTAGCCATGCAAAGGCTTAAAGCCTTCGACTTTATGGATTAGGACTTTAATATCATGACACTTTATAGATTGGCTGATAAGAACTGAGGTTATTAAGTCATTTGGCCAAAGGTTTGGGATTGGGCTAATACGTGGGACGTACTCCTAAGTACGTTGAGCGTACTAGCTGCGAACCCATTTCTGAATCGATCGCGTAGCTTGGTACACTGAGCGTATGCTAGACTGTGGGATGAAAGAGTAGTGGGTTTGGGTTTTTGGGCTATATTTCACTTGAGCTTGACCCTTAACTCCTATGGATAATTTTGGACATCGGACTTTCTTAGATTGGGCCCCATTGGGCTTTGGGTGCTATTTACGATGTTGGGCCTTTAGGGAGCAAAGGGTTTGGGCCTTGTTTTGGGCCAAGTGGGAAAAAGGGTATAATAATCTTTTACCTTGGATGTTGGACAAGTGATCTAGATTCTTGATTTGGATTAAGATCCAATTATTAATTGAATATTATTAATGATGATAGCGCAAGGATTTTTTGGTTCAGTAGACCTAGATTTTATCTGAGAGATTCAGCAGTTTGAGGTGAGTTTCCTCACTATGTTTAGTGGTTCGAAGGCACTAATTCCGGCCCGTGGTTTATTATGATTACGATGCTAGTTTTTTGTGTGACTCTACATGTATGTTTTATGATATGTTACCGGTCGAGGCCTGATGTCGGGCGAGGCCTGATGATTATATTGTATGCTATTTATCTTTGAGATTTTTACATGTGTTTATATGTTTGTATGTATATTGGGCGGGGCCTGATTCCAGGCAGGGCCAAATGATTAACAAATTTGTTCCGAGAGGGGCCGATGTCGGGCAGGGTCTATTATATGTTTGATATGTATGGTATGTACTATTTTGGGGAACTCACTAAGCTTTGTGCTTACGGGTTTCAATTTATGTTTCAAGTACTTCTGGTTCGAAGGGGAAGAGCCCGGGATGATTGTAGTGGACACACCACATTGTTCAGTATTTTATATTACTCAGATGTACTTGGATGTTTATTGATACACTCTGATTCACCATGGTTTCTATGATGTTGTTTTGGATAATGATTTTATTAATTTAAAAATCGAAATTTTTAGTCTTAATTTTTGGGATGTTACACCAAAGTTCTCACATTTTTGTCCAAAACTTGATCTTTGTGAGTAGGATATACTCCAAGACGTTTGAGTTGTCCTTTCAGAGGTTTTAGGGAGTGTTAAGTCATAAAAATATGTTCTTGGTCAATAGTTTCTTTCCATGCAAGATCTAGTTTGTCTTAACGGGTAAAGAAGTTAGGGTTTTGGAGTTAAGGTCTTAATAGCCATGCCAAACCATGAAGTTGAAAACTTTATGGTTAAGGACATCTTTTCAAGCCTAGATCTGGATTTTGGATGTGAGTGCTTAAGGATTAAGCACTTAATGGCTTAAGTGGAGAGCAACCCTGTATGTTGGGCATACCAAGGGGTACGTTGCGCGTATGTGGTCAGCTCCTTGACTCCGGTCAACCACGCAGTATGCCCCGCATACGTAAGGAGTACGCCCAACGTCCTCACTCAGTCAACTCGGTTGACTCAGTTGACCTTGAACTGGATTTTTGCTATGGTTTGACCTCGGTGCATTTTAGGTATTTTCGTATGTATGTGGAGTTTGTGTCGCTAAATTTATTAAGGTGACTGGTATAGTTGATTTTCAGAGAGGCGTGCTTTCTAGTTTACACATTTGTCTGTGAGGTGAGTTTTCTCATTGTATCTATGGGTTGAAGGCACCAATGATGGTCTATTATTATGTTACTCGAAATGATAGTTTTATGTGGTTTGAATGCGATTGTATGCTGGGTTGAAATATACCCACTATAATATGTTTGGGTTGGAACATACCCCAGGGCGGGGCTCACTACAGTATGATTGGGTTGAAATAGACCCTAGGGCGGGGCCTATATGTGTTGTTCGAGTTGAAATACACCCCAGGGTGGGGCCGATATGTGCATATCGGGTTCGATTATACCCTAGGGTTAAGCCCACTTGCATGTTTGGTATGTGGTACTTTGGGGAACTCACTAAGTGTTATGCTTACAGATTATGTTTATGGTTTTAGGTACTTCCGGTTCGAAAGGGAATGGTCTAATGTGATGGAAGATCATCCTTCCATCGTGATTTCCCCATATTTGTACTCTAATGTTTTGAATATTATGACTTGGTGTTGATCTTGAACAATTATTGAATGATTTGATAAAATTTATAAAGAAAATTTTTATTTCTCTTTTCGGGACGTTACATGCTAGGAGAGATGCATTTCTATATGTGCTATGTAAGCTTTTAGATATGCATGATAATGTGTATGCTAAGGATCATCACGAATTGCGTGTTAGGATTGTCTGATCTTTATGATGCCTTATTCAACATAGATTTGTTTTAATATTTTTGAACAACATGTTTATTATTTAAATAATATTAAGAGTAATATTATAAATAATTCAAGTATATTTTACATAATTTCAAAACATTTTGGTAAATTTCATGTAAATATTTTTTTGTATTACATTGTCTATAACCAAATATTAATAAATTATAAAGTTAACGATTATAATTATCAAATTTATTGGAGCTAACCGGAAAAATAACCATCGTCTTCGAAAATTTAACAACAATGGACACGTTTTTTGTTAAATTAACAATTTTACTTATTGTTATTTAGCAAATATTATTTTTAATTATTTTATATAAATGTCTTTAAAAATCATATCATCATAACGATCTTTATATTTAATTAGCATATGATTAAAATAAATAAAAATTTTATGTAGATTTATTTTAACTTATTACTATAGTTAATTTCAGATTATTACAACAGCCTGCAACGCTAAAAAACAAACATATTTCTTATTACATGTTGCAGTTGTTTGATCCACCTCTTCTTCTGTAGAGGGTTGCAGATGTGGTCCGTAGACTTCAGAAGTTTTCATTTCGAAAAAAAAACAACATTTAACTACATGGGATACCATTTATATATAGGGGACGAAAAATGTTGTTATTTGGAGTGTGAAATATGTGGCCGGAATGCATGTTTGTAATTCCGTAATGTCACATCTATGTATAATATTGACTACAGTACTCCGTAATTGGCTACGGAGCTCCGAAATAAATAATGTTACTCCGAAATACTCTATTCCAAAGATAATGGTCATTTTTCAAAACAACAATTAAATTACTCAATTTCTCCACAATATAATTTGTATTTTCATTAAACTCTAGATCAATTTCCCCAACTCATATGGTATTTGTTGAGTTATGTTTGAATGAGGCTAGACATGGAAATAAACTTGGTAGTCATTTCAATAAGGTTGGATATGAGAACCTTATAAACAATATGAAAGAGCATGAAAAACTTTGAGCCATAAGAAAATGAAAAACCACTGGGAAAGTATGAAGAGATATTGGAGGTTTTTTGACCGTTTAATGAGACTTAAATCTAGGATAGGGTGGGATCCCGTGAATAATTCAATTGTTGCATTGTCTGAGTGGTTGGATGAAAAAATTAAGGTAACATTTGATATATTTTATTTTTTACATGGTTTATTAATATTGAAATATTATAACATTTTGTTGTTTTTATCTTACAAGTTAACAAAGATTATGGCAAGTTTAGGGGAAAAATTTTGGAGATGTATCAAACCCATTATGTAGCATTACTTCGAGATTTTGTTGCTGTTGAAGATAGGGCTAAATCGTCTTCTGAATTCCAAAACTTAGATGATCAAAACAAAGAAGCTCTTGAAGGAAAAGGAGATAGCGACGATGTGAATGCAGATGATGATGAAGAACCTCTTTTTCCGACAAGCATTTAGAGTAATAAAAGAAAAAAAAAAGCATAATAAGAATGCCTCAACTCCTTCATCATCCAAAGGAAAAAATTTAATGGTTTCTCAATTTGAAGAGAGACTAGAAACGGTCATGCATGCACTATCATGAAGCTCACAAACTTCCTCCCCATAGAATTCAATACCACCACCTTAAGATTGCATGGACATTGGGACTTGTTTATGTACAACAAGGCGCTAGCCTTTTTCTTGTAAAAGGAAGTTCGGCAAAATTTCATGGTTCCAACAACTCACATGGCAAGAATTGAGTTCATGACATTTCTGATGGAGAAATGATTTCAAAGTTGAGGTAATGATTTAGTGTTAGATTTTATGTTAACGCATTATGTTCTTGTTTGTCCTTGTTATGCACGTTTGCATTATTTTCCTTTATTGTCTTGTTTACCTTATGTAACATTTGCTTTATGCATTATGGTTACCATTATGTTTAAGTTTATGCATTATCTTTAACATTATATTTTGATGATGTGCGTCATCAGTTAGATGTGTTTTACAATTGATAGTTCTATTAATGATAAAGTTATATATGTTTTTCTTATTAGGATGGATATAAAAAATGATGGAAAATATTTGGATACCGATAGTGATGACATTGAATCATATGATAAATATGAAGAAAATTGGGTTGAAGAAGAGAAAAAATAGAAATTACTATTTGGTCTAGCCATTCAAGGGATGCTAATAAGTCATGCTTTGAACAAGACATGTACTTGTGTTTGCACTTCTAGTCGCATGGGAGCTATGTTTATTTAAGAAATACTTAATGATCATCCTAGATGCTATTATGAAGCATTCAGAATATGTGTAATGGTATTCAAAATGTTGTGTTCAGATCTGGTCACACATTATAGGTTGAAGCCGACACGTAATTTGGCTGTTGAGGAGTTGGTTGCAATTTTCTTAATAACCTTAGCACATGGATGTGGAAATAGGTTGGTTCAAGAAACATTTATTCTTTCAATAGAAACCATTCATAGGCATTTTAGCACTCATTTCAAAGCGGTGCTTAAGTTAAGTAAAGACATCATAAAGCCAAAAGCAAATTTCAATGAAGAAGTATCATCACAATTTTTAAACAACTCTCGTTATTATTTGATTTTAAAGGTATTTCATATAACTTTGCTTCATATTTAAAGTGTTTCGTTGTTAAGGGTTACTGCCAGGAAGAGGGAATCGACTACGAAGAAACCTTCGCTCCTGTTGCAAGGTTGGAATCAGTTTAGATATTCTTAGCATACGCAACTCATAAGAACTTTGAAGTGTTTCAAATGGATGTTAAATGCATGTTCCTGAATGGAGAATTAGAAGAAATAGTATATGTTGAACAACCACTTGGATTCGTTAATGAGAAGTATCCCAATCACTGCTACATTTTGGATAAAATAGTTTACGGACTAAAGCAAGCTCCGAGATCCTGGTATGAAACTCTTACTCGCTTCCTTAAAATATCTAAATTTAAATAAGGTTTGCTTGACCCAGCCTTCTTTCATAAGAAAGAGGGTGACCATTTGATGATCATCCAAATTTATGTTGATGACATCATTTTCGAATCTACTAATCCCAGCCTCATGGCTGAATTCCAAAAGTTGATGGAAACTAATTTTGAGATGAGCTCAATGGGTCCTATTAATTTTTTCCTTGGATTGAATATAAGACAGGGACCATAAGGTATTTTTATTAATCAAAAAGCATATACGGAAAATTTTCTCTCTAAGTTTGGCATGATATGAGACTCAAAAGTGAAGGTTCCAATGGGATTCAGAACGAAACTTACACCATCTATGGAAAAACCTGTTGTGGATATGACCCTTTATCGTTAGATGATTGGTTCCTTAATGTATCTAACAGATAGTAGACCGGACATTATGTTTTCCATTTGTTATTGTGAAATGTTCCAAGAAAACCCTCGCGAACCTCACATGGTGGTAGTAAAGAATATCTTCAGGTACATGAAACGAACTTTATCTCTAGGCATATGGTATCCTACAAACTCAGGCTTCTTCGTTCAAGCATTTTCAGATGCTGATCTTGGTGGGTGTGGCTTAGATAGAAAAAGCACGACTGGTGGATGCCAATTTCTTGATGGCAAGTTAGTTAGTTGGCAATCCAAAAAGCAAACATGTGTTTCGTTGTCGACAACCAAAACTGAGTATATCACTGCTGCATCCTATACCTCTCAAGTCATATAGATTCAAAGTCAATTGCGAGATTATGGCCTGAATATGAAGCGAATCCCACTCTACTGTGACTCTGAAAGCGCAATTCGCATCTGCCATAACTCAGTGCAACACTCTAAGACGAAACACATAGCACTGAGGTATCATTTCATCAAGGATCATGTAGAGGATGGCAATGTTGAGATCCATTTCGTTCGATCAACAGATCAATTAGAAGACATATTCACAAAAGCCTTACTTGAAGAGTTTTTTAATAGAATACTCCAAGGCCTAGGAATGATGGAATCTGAATCGTTTCCAAAACCACCTTCATTGTAGCCCAGTCGCTTTCGGGTTACTTGTTCGCTTTTGTTTTTATATTTTAACATACGAAATAGACCGAATGCTCGTTCTATTTCGTTTCTAATTTTTTTCGAGACAAGAACTAAGAAGAACATTCGCCCTGTTTCGTATCTAAATTTTTTTAAGTCGGACTCTCGAGGTCTATTCCTTGTATATTATGCTATTTTTTATTATTTATTTTTTTTTAAGTTTTCAAAAATACAAACATATTTAATTTATTTATGTTTTTATCTTTTAAATTTTAAATCCAAAAACATTTTACTTTGCTTTGTTTCTTTCTTTTTTATAAATTATTAAAATAAAAAAATATACTCTTTTCTTATTTTATTATTTTTTTAGTACCATTGCAGGTTATCTTGCTAAAACGAATGACTGGGGCAGGTGTAATTTCCATATCTTTGTACTACCTAGGTGTCCCTAGAAGCATGCTACTACATGTTGTACTAAGCCTCAAAAGACTTCATGTGAATCCTTAATGAATCGAATCTACCATTCATTTCTTCTTGTCGCACCCCCAAACCAAGGATGGCGGAAACTGTTGGATAAGGTGTCTAAGTCCATAACTATTTCTGGTACGTACTTGACCCGACCCGGCATGGTCCATTTGGGTTGCATGGCACCATGCAATTGGATAGACTAAATGAGAGAAATAACACTTGGAGATTATTAATATATTATAAGTTCTAATATATTAATAATATTATTTGATTAGTTTGATCAAGAATTAATTTAGAATTAATTAAGTGATCAAAAGATAACTAATTAAATATATGGGTTGATTATGTAAATCATCCATATCTTGTATAGTGGGCTAAAAGGCTCCATGGACTATCAAGTTGGGTTCCACCCATAGGATGCTCCATGGATGCTCCATGGGAGTTACAAACCCATGGGTCATGGAAATGAAGAGTCATGACACATTAGGGTTTAACCCTAGATGTGTCAACACTATATAAGTAACATGTTCTCCACCTAAAATCGGCTACACTAAGAAACAAGAGGGCTTGGCCGATTTTGAGAAGTGTGTATACTCTCATAAGTTCTTCCAAGAGCATTTGGTGTTGTGTGAAGCATTTGAGGCATCACACTTGGGGTGCTAGGCTCACAAGGTTTCAAGGAACACAAACAACAACAAGGTAAGTTATTCTATCTATACTTTATGTTAAAATTGTTCCCCATGTATGCTAGATAGGAATATAACCTTGGAATTCAACTTTGCATGATAATTAGACAAACATAGATCCAAGGTTATTAGGGTTGCATGTACACTTAGAAGTGTTAGAATGCTCAAAACCCATCAGTGGTATCAGAGCCTAGGCTTGTTTGCTCTTATTTGTGCTTAAAAGTTGAAAAAAGAATCGGAAATCTTGCTGTCTGCGAATGGACTCGTCGAGTCTATAGGGGGGACTCGTCGAGTTCATGAGTATCTTCAACCAACTCGGCGAGTCAGTTCATGCACTCGGCAAGTAGGGTCGACTGAGTGCAGAATTTCGATTTAGTTGCTGGAAATGAATTAGAAACATTACCCTAAACTGTTTTGGTAATTGAAAACTTGTTTTTGGTGGTGTAATGTCTTTGCTAATTCATTTACAACAACTAGTTATCAAAATTACAAAGTTTTAAATGTAATTTTTGATTGTGTTCATATTCATGTTCTTGTTCTTATGATGTTTTAGATGATCATAGGAATTATTTGTAACCTATGTGGTAGATTAATTCTTGATCATAATGTGTTTTAATGGAGTCCATAACTTATCCTTAAGTTATGGAAAACCAAGAGTCACACTTGAGTTAAAACCATTAAAAAAACACAAGAGTTAGAAAAATGAAGAGTCTTCATTTTATTACTCTATTAAACTCATAAGTTACAAGAAATGAAAAGTTTTGAAAGTTACAAAACTTGCCCTCAAGTTTTGGAACAAGTAAAGTTAAGTTAAAACTTTAAGTTCCAACCCCTAGAATTTTAAAAGTTAAAATTCAACCCTTATACTTATATTATGATGATTTAATAATTATATATATATATATATATATATATATATATATAGATAAGAATAAAGTCGTCTTACCGCTAGTACGCCTCATTCACGAAGCCGGTCTATAAGGTGGGTATAAGGTTGTTGCCTATAAAATGGTGACTTAATGGGTGTATATTCACCCACCGCTTGCTTGACTGGTGGAGGGTCGTTAGCCGAACGGGTAAGACAAGGACTTATAAATTCTCATTCAAAGTATGATGAATATAATAAAGTAACTAAATGTTTATTAAATTCCCAATCTTAGTTACTTTAGGAAAATGTGAATAAGGTGCTAATCCATGAAATTACACTTTACACTTTGTCTAAGTCGTTGGTGGAGCGTGTGTGGTTAACCGGCACACTAACTTGGACTTAACAAGGTAGGTAAAGGGTGACTTAAGGTTTATTATAGTATCGGTGGAGCGTGTGT